TTCTCTTTCTGGTTATTTTTTAGTAATATCTGAAGAATCACACTAAGATTTCAAATAGGTAGCTATATCAAAGCATGGAAGCAACTCAGAATCAAACTTCCACCAAAGGCATGATGTGTTTTAGAAATGTAACCCAGAAAACCACAAGCCATTCTACTTAAAGCTATCTTAGAAGATACAGCAAGCCTGTGTGAAGTTTCCTTTGCTCACTACTTGAAAAGGTGAAATTGAAAACAAGCCCTTGTGCTTCAAAAGCATTTCTCGTGGTACTTGAGGCATGACGGTTTGGAAGAACAGACTGCTGGCTGGATAGGGTGAAGTTGGCTTGACTGCCAGGCTGTAAGACTTGGTGTCTGGACAGTGAGTGGAGAGTGGCAAAGATGGCCTTGTTTATGGGCAGAAGAAAGGGCCATTAGGGGCAGTCTGACAGCAGACTTAAGAGCAGCTACAAGCATGACCTGGTGGCCAAAGCAACCCTGTTTTCCAAAAACTAAACTAATAAAAAGTACTGATTGGGATTTCAGCTAGAAAGATTCAGATTAGACATGAGGAAAAACATCTTATATTGGAATTTAATATGTCACTGCAGCAAGTTATCCAAAGACACTGTGGAATTTCCATCTGTGCAAGTTTGGGAGTTGACAAGAAAATGCCAGCCTTCAAATGTGTGACCTGCTGTGGTGTGAGCAGGAATTATGACCCAACCAAGAGCTTGGACTGGAAGTCCCACAGAGCAGCATTTGTATGATTTTGAATGTTTTCGTGCCAGTACCCACTGTACATGTGAGCAATATCAAGGTGAGCTATTTGCCTACTGTTTTCTGCCAGTGACAGACCATTTTCCAGTTTTTCCTTTGTGCCTGGAAAAAGAGTTAAATTTTGCTGCTACATTCAGATAATAGCTATGAAGTGCCTGGAGGCAAGTGAACCAGAGACAGAGGATAGAAAGAGGTATTCTCATATTCCTCTAGTTATTACTTCTGAAAGTAGACTTGCTGCTTTTCGAAAGTTTGGAAAAAAATACCATATTATGTTACATTTCAAAAGGGTTTCTTCTACAAAGCTTGTTTCTGTACATAATGCAGAGAGTTGTAGAAACTGCATGGGATTGTTGCAGGAAATCCTTTCAAATAATGATAATAAAAGAATGCATCCCTTTGAAGTTCCATGGTAATGAACAAATAGTCATCTTTTGTTGCTGAGTTTTAAAGCAGAAGACTTGCACAGTACTGCATTACTATATATCAGAAAGAGCTCTAATCTTAATCTGTAAATATTTAGAGTTGAATTTTCTGTATTTGAACTTGGCATTGTTTTTTGAAGCATTGATAGCCCTATATGGCTGTTACTGAAAGCCTAGAATTTGTTTTTCATAATTAAGGGCTCCAGAATGAAATAAACAAGATTGTCTGTGAACAATCCATGATTGGTAGGACACCGATCTTGCCCTATTTATAGAAAAAATTACTTTGTGAAATCACTGGAAGCTTAACAAAAAGCATTATAGAAACTGATGTTACCAGTGCTGCACCTCTGAAGGAAATCTGTCCTCATTGTGGCACCCAGGGGCCAAGGCTGTTTCTCCTTGGTGCTCCAGAACTGATTTGTCTGAGTTTTACCCTTGACCCTCGCCAAAATGTAGTGATTACAACGTACTAGGAAGAGGTATTTGCTATATTTAAGAAGTGTCAGCACTGATCTTTGTGAAATGTATTGTGCCCATGGGGGAAGAGGCCTACTTTGAAGTAGACAGGAATGAGCTTGTCTTGTCGGTGGGTTTAATTTCAGTTTACAGTGGCATCTGCTGATCTCTTGGTGATACCGTGGTTTTTCATCTGTGTTACCATTGCAGTGGAGGGGTTAGGCACTGCCGTGCATTCAGAATGTCTGGAATCTTGTAATTTTCAGGTGCGGGCTTTCTACATTGATATATAAATCTGGTGATAGCATCTTACACCACATCAAAGACTACTGTGGCAACTCATTCTTCAGCTTCGGGCCCTGTGATGCTCATACAGTCCTTCCCTAATAAGCGTAACCGTGTCCAGGGTCAGCTTAGGGGTTTTCCCCATCTGGTGTGCCCCATTTCCAGAACCTTCTCCTGCAGATGATCTCTGCTCGCTTTTTGAAGAAGCTTCTCACAGGAGCCCCTGTCTGTCCCCCTTCCCTCGTGTGGTGGTGCTGCACCAGGGCTGAAGTGGTACCTCGCCTCTTCTGGACCGATGCTTCTGAGTTGATCTGTGCTGTCTGAAAAACCATGATCAGTTTTTCAATCTTTTTTTCTTTTTTTTTTTTTGGAGGGGGCTATGAGATGTTAATAGCAAAGCAAACAGGTCACAGCTGTAAGGACTGATATATGTATAGCTTTGGAGCTGCACAGCTGACCGCTGTAAATCTGGATGAACTTGTTACTCCCTTTTGAGTCTAACCCTTTAAATAAAGCCAGAAATTGTAAAGTCATTCCAGAAAAGAAAAAGAAACTGTGGTCTCAGCTTAGTTACATTCAGGTGGCTGTGCTATTCACACAACTTATCCAAAAGAAATTCTCTGAACATGCATGAACTCAATAGGAGAAGGCTAGTTTTTTTGCAGTGTGGTGGTACAATTAGTTTATGTAGAATGGATGAAAAAGAATATTGCAGCTTATCTGAAGACAAATAACAAGCCTCATTCTCCAGTGACAGCAATTACTTTCCTTTGTGGTCATACAAAATAATTCTTTTGCAAAAGAAATTCCACTGTGTGAGAGCAAATATTTGAAATGGAGCAAGTGATATGTGTGAGAATTTGATATGTTTTTGGAACAGTGCTGTGTAAAAGATATTTTTCCTTTCCAAATGGAGGAGCTGGAGATACTGGGGATGCTGCAAGTCCTATTTACTAATTTACAGTATGCCTTTTTGTTCCTTTGCCTCTCTTTAGTGACTTCTCATTTGCTAAGTCTAGACTACTTACAGAATTTAATTGCATTGAGGTGGCTGTCATTGTCCCAGTGATAGAAGTACATTGTGAAATATAACGTGGTTTGTAATCCTATATGTGCTTTTTCAAGACAAAAAAGAATCACTGAATATAGTGTCATCAATGAAATAATGTTCCTTTGCATACTTTAGAAATAACACTCTGGTCTACTCATCTCTGGGAAAGTCACTTTTATTACTGTTGGCTGCTGTGTTTTAATGTGGAGCTCCCTGCTGGCGTTCTATAGGTTATTAAAAAAATGCTTGTGACTTAGCTAACAAAGAAAAAAACAGGGTGTCTAAATTAAGCATCTAACTCTTGTGCGTCCTTTGTGCTTTTTTTCTTATTACTGCATGCTGTTCTCCCTTGTGTGTCTGCAAGGCTGTCAGTCCTCTGTAACTGCGTGTGAATACTGGCAAAACCACGCTCCTTCAGGTTTATGTAAGCAGCAATTCATTTAAAGGGAAAATTTCCATTTTCATACCGCAAGTAGAAAGCATGGGTCCGTCAGAATAGAAGGCAAAAGTCTGTCAGGCTTTAAATTACAGTTAAGTATAGATTAATTCCTTTAAAATTGCAATGCTGTTTGTATAGCTTTCTTTTCTTGCAGTACATTCATTTAGCTGTCAGCCTTTACATGTTGCTATAATAAGGTATGATTGCAGTGCCTGTTTTCATTGTAGACTGAAGCACAGACTTTCTACATAGTTTCAAATGTATTTTCATCACCATGCTGTTTATATAACAAACAAAAATGAAGTAACTAACTGACAAAACTAATTGCCAAAAAGAAAATAATGTGAATTACTCCCCAGTACAAAACTATACATGCATTTAGTTACTAAGGTTATTAATTAGGTAACTGAGGATTGCTATGGTTTACTGACCGCTATGTCAAACTTGACTATATACAGATTTTTAGAAAAGGTCAAAGACAGTAGAAGTCTTGTGCCGTAGCATAAAGATTTTTTTCCTTTGATGTGCTTATGGAACTAAATTTTGTCATTTAGAGATCTCAGCGTTCTGTGTCATGATGTTGAAAAGTATTCAGATTAGATCAGTGCCTCCTGTTTGCAGCTAAGTCTTCCGTACAGACTGATTCCAGCTGCTGAATATGAATGCCTGGGAACGCTGGGCACTTGGCAGTGAGGTTGTTGGAGTTATTGTGAAGAGAGTTGTGTCCCTGACAGTCACAGTGACCGATCACCAGAGGAGTCCTTTCCTTTTCATAACTCCTCACAGTTGTGAATTCATCACCCAAAGAAACTGTTTCAGTGTGCTTTAAAGTCAAACGTAGTCAGCGTATTTCTTTTGAGTTCATTTGCTGCCACATAAAACATTTATTTTTACGTGTATTTTGTAGTCTAGCAAAGCTGAAGAATTTTAAGGGATGCCCTCTATCGGGAATTGTCAGTAAATGTCTAATTTCACATACTTGGTAATTTCTAAATAGCATATCCCAGACGTGCTCCTGTGTCAGGCTAACTTTGGCCAGTACAGCCCTCAGCACGGATGCAGCCATCAAAATCCTTATTGCTGGATCCAGTAAATGTAAAAGTCTCCTCTAATGAGAGACAAATTTAAACCAGCCCTTCTGTGTGATGGGCATGAGGCCTGCCCTTCCACCTTCGGGAGATTTCTCTGCAATTCCCAGTAATAAAGAACTGGAGCCATCAGCAGCCTGCATGACTAAGTCCCTTTGGCTGCTGGACTTCTGTGAGGGCTCCAGTCTCACGTTTGTGTTGGAGTTGAGGGCTCCAGTCTTGCTTTTATGTGTTGGAGTTGAAGGAGATATACAGTCACATTTCTCTTACCTCCACTTGAACCTGTGTTCTGTTTTCTGACCAACAGTTGGAGCTCGGGTTTGATTAGTTTTTTCTCAGCAAAGCAAACTTTATCTCTTAATCTGTTTTTACTAAATAGACAAAATAAAGAAAAAAGCAATCAGAACAAAGGGACTTTTTCTGTGTGTGCTATGCTCTTTAAGAAAAAGGAAAGAAATACAGTATTGATGCATCTGCTTTCTCTTTTTACTACAGGTGTGCAAGATCCTCAGCATGAGAAGATAATAACAGTGACTTCTAATGGAAGTATTCACAGCCCCAAGTTTCCACACACGTACCCACGCAATACTGTACTCGTGTGGAGATTAGTAGCAGTAGATGAAAATGTATGGATACAGCTTACTTTTGATGAAAGATTTGGGCTTGAGGACCCAGAAGATGACATTTGCAAGTAAGTTACTTTTGCTTTGACTTACAAAATATCTTAAAGAAGATGTGGGGGATGGAACAAGAGTATTGCTCAGGTTTTGCAAAAATGTTCCACCTGCATGTCAGCGTATTTATATAAATGCATCTCTAATGTATTAGCTACTGATTTTCTTTTGCAGTGCTAGGGAAGCATTTCATGCTTGAAATATCATTTGAATGTCATATCCTGCTTTGATGTGTTCCTGGGGAGGTATTTCACACCAGTTTTTCTTTTCCAAGCATGTTTTTTTTTGCTTTATTTTTTTCACCCCTATTTTAGATTTTGTTTTTTTACTACTCTGTATGTTTGATACTTGCTTTTAGTTTTTCTAATTAATTAGTCTTCATTTGCCTGTGTATCTTATATCAGTTTTTTGTGTTGTTGTGTTTTGTTTTTTTTTTAATTTGGATTTCTTTACTTTTACTTTTGAGCTTATTCTTATTTTGGGAGTTGTGGTTCATAACGGATGGACAGATACCTTCTTCATAATTCTGAAGAGAGTAATTGTCAAGACCATGTCAAATACAACAAAATACCAAGTACAGTAAGCATATGTTTGCTCAGATGGATGCACTCCCTTTTTAAATGAAAACTTAGCTTGCTTTTTCTTTTCTTTGCATGTGGCAGAGTGAAGTGAAGTGAAAGAAAATCCAGGTAGGGTGACTCATTCGTCCACTTGCAAAGAAAAAAGTCAGATAAGTTAAAATATTTTTAATCTTAAAACTTGAATAGTATTTCAATGGGAGTACATTTATTTAAAGTAAACAAGGTGATGAATACAAAAGTACTAGTCAAATTAAAAAGCAGTCACAAGTCACTCATAATATTCACCCACTCGTAATCTTATCATGCTCATATTTGTGCATGTATACCAGGAAGCTGGATGTGTGCTGATCCTGGCACGTGCACTTTTGAGGACACACTAGTCTTTTTAACTTTGAAGATTCAACCCTCTGAAAGAGAAATTTTGTTGTTTTTAACAAAGAAAATGCAGAGATAATTCCTACATAGTTTAAATTCAGTAGTTTAAATTGTCAGTAAAGGAAAGGAATATGTATCTTTTTTCTGTGAAGTCAGTACAAATAATTGACAAGGAAATTAAGGAAATAAAATGCAGAGTTCAACTGCATAAAGCAATTCTACACAGGCCAGTTAAGTTACTGAGTTATCAGAGTAATATCTCTTTATAAGTAATGTCCTGTTTCTTAGCTCTTGTTCTTACTAAAATTATTTCATCTTCTTTCTACTTTCTCTGTAGAAAAGCTGAGGGTTTTTGTTGCCTGCATTCTATTTATGACTCTGCTCTGTTTCTGCCATCTTGAAGGTCACAAATCAGTATTGTTGCAAGAGTAATCACCAGTTTCTCAAGACCAAGTTTATATGACAAAGAACAGAATAAAATATAGAATCATGAAACCTTAGAGTTGGAAGTGACCTCTGAAGGCCATTTAGTCCAACACCCCTGTGATGAACAGGGACACACAGCTCCATCAGGCTGACCAGGGCCTGATCCAGCCTGGCCTTGGAAGTCTCCAAAGACAGGGCATCAACCATATCACTAAGGAGCCTGTTCCAGTGTCTCATCAGCCTCACTGTAAACAGCTTTTTTTCCTTTTATCCAACCTAAATCTCCCCTCTTTGAGCTCGAAACCATTTCCCCTTTATCTCTCACCACAGACCCTGCTAAATTTCTGTCCTTCTTTCCTGTAGCTCCCCTTTGGATACTGACAGGCTGCTATCAGGTTACCTCACAAAATTCTCTTCTCCAGGCTGAGCAGCCCCAGCTCTCTCAGCCTGTCCTCATAGGTGAGGTGTTCTATTCCATGGGTCATGTTTTCGTCTGTGTCTGGAAGCCAACATCTGGCTGGCTTGGCCATATTTGGATTTCTCCAAAGTCAGTTCTGACACTTCAGCTATTCTTCTTGTCTAGAAGGATTTTATTATCTTACAGGTACACTGAAGGTACCGGTTTAGCCTCCCTTTTAGTTTCCTGGATCTGAATCTCATCCTGCACAGCTATTCTCCACTCCATTTTTACTTGCAATTCAACTCAGAAAATGTGCAAACAAATTATTTGCATTACAGCAAATTCTTTGTTTATGCATCCGAACCCAGTCTCACTTGGAAGCATAACAACTTCCATAGTCCTCATTGCTGTGCAGATACTCACCAGTGTAACGAATAGTTGTTGGCTCTCTTTCTTTTCAAAAGTTTTAACTATGAGGGTGTTTTTTGTTTGTTTTTGGTTTTTCTGGAATAAACATCTGTTTTTTTGCCCATATTTCTCCAGGTGACTCTTGCCCAGGCTTTACAGTTGCAATAGCTTTACATTTCTGTAGTTCATCTCTGCACTGTTTAACATATAGCTAATGATTTATTAACAGTAATTCTGCTTGCACTGGGTCCTCTCTGTGAGTAAAATTGTGAGAATCCCCCTGTGCCTTGTCAAAAGTGTACACAAAGTCCATTTTGCATATGAAACTCAATCCCCGCATTTATTTCAGAATAGCTGTTGCTCAACTCTTGTTGTCTGAAATTGTTGCTTTCTGTCTTTGAGAATATACAATGACAGAAGTTTTATGATAAACCCCTCCAGTCATGAAGACACAGACTTAGCTTTCTTCCTTGAAGAACATGTGTGTTACAGTTGCCATTAAGAAGCAGTCTGATGTTTTGAGTTGGTCGTATACTGCAGCATTAAATAACAAAAATCTTTCTTGTAATAGTAATGTGTGTCACTCTTGCTCTGCACAGAATGGCTATAGTTGTTCATTTTGTGGTGGTGGCAGCTGTTTGTTCTAATTATCAGATGATTTCAATCTGTTTGAATTTTATTGTATATAATAAAAGACAGAAATGTGTTACAAATGCAAAGTGCAATTACTGTAGATCAGATTATAAGGATTAAAATCCACAAGTGGAATGTGGAACTGAATGATTGTTGAGTACTCGATGGCACTTGACACTCATCTTCACTTTAGGAAGACTACATGCATTTACAAGTCTCTTCAGTCCTCTAGTGATTTGAAGTATGAACTATAGTCTGTTCTGTAGGCTTTCCTTTGTTTGTTTTTATGTGAAGCTTTTAGCAGCTGCATATGTGACTCTGTTGTTGCAGTTCTGTAAGTGAAGCATTTGTCTGTACAGCTTTGAATGAATCTCTAAAACTTGTCTAGTTAATGTGCAATATGTAGAGCTTTTGCCTGTAGAAAATGAGTAAAACTGAAGACGGCTGTCAGGGGTAACATGGGATAAAATCTATGAGTAGCACTGTGACTGTTTTTGACTGTCCTCACATAAAATTAAATATTTAAATCCTAATTCCAGGAATGTTCTTCCTCTGGGGGTACTTAGGATGATGCTTTAAGATAAAAAGCCACAGGCACTAAGCTCATTGCCTCCTTTTTCCCTAATGTTTCTGTATGCTACTCTCCTTCGCTTCAACTTTTGATCAAACTGTGCCTAAGCTGTTCCATTCAGGGAACAACAAAGTTCTCAGGTTCCAGGAAACCATATCCAAACTGCTTAAAAAGTCCTATGCTCCTAATGAATGGATCATTAGCGAAGTGTTGATTAAAAATCTTGAAGATTCAGCTTAGTCTCACATGTCTGAAACACGTGTATTAAGAAGAAACATAAAGTCACTGCCTGTAGTCACTGGCTATGAAGAAGGAAAATATTTGCTTAGCTGTCTCTTTGGTATTAATCATGTCAAATGCATACTATCCAGAGGTGAGTTATGATAAGCACAATAGAAAAGCTAAACATTTTGTTACATGATTTTCTAAAGGGAGCTTGCCATGTAATGTAGGACCCAGTGGAGCACGTGGAACTTCCTCTCTTTTAATTACAACAAAACTCTCTATCTAACATGTGGAGTTAAATACAGATGCACAGCTGCAGCTGCATGGTGTTTAAGTAAAAAGAGAATAGATATTTCAGTTCTGTTTGGCCCATGTCGTGGTAACACCATGTCGTGGCATCAACAGAGCATGTGCAGAACAAGTCTAGGATCTTTCTGTACTGCAACCTACAGGGGAAAAAAAACATTCATATTGTTGTTTTGCTTTTGCCTTGAGTGCGTTGTAGAGACAATATTAATGTATGTACTAAGAACGTACTATCAAATATTCAGAAAGAAACACAATTAGAGCTGGCCTTGCTGCCTGGCAGTCTTCAACACTTCTGATGGACTTTTTTGTTGCAAGAGTGACGCTATCTGTGCAAAGCTACAGATAGAGAAGTTACCACAAAGTTCAACTTGTCAGTGTTCATGGTGACTCACATCACTAAGTAGATAGGCTGCTGGTTTCTTTGAGATTGCTTGTTCTTCTCATTTTGAACTTCCAGGCTTTGCTGTTGCCACCTTCTTTTGAAAACTCAGATGGCAGGGAGGAGTCCCCCAGAATCTCTAAAACTTCAAATTATGGAGAAAAATAAAAACACAAAACCAAACCAGACTGAGAACAGAGATGAAGATAGATGGCCTCAGTTCTGCTTAGATGATTCCACATCTGTAATACTTAAATGTCTCCTTCATCACTGCATTATATATATATATATTTATGAGCATAAATAAAGTCATATTAAAGTTGAAATCCATTATTGCTGTCTTCTACACTTAGATCCGTTTGGATAGAAATTATTCCGTTAACAACTGGAATAACAAAAAGCTTCCGAGTCCTTCATTTTACCTTTTTTTTCTGACATATAAACTCCTTGTTAATCACTTTTACTCAAAGTCTGAAAGTGGGGGTCATATAGTTTAAATAGCCAGAATGGATTCTAGTATTCAAGAACCTTAGATTAAGTGAAACACTGATAAGAAGGAATTATTTAAGTTGACGTTCTTGGTAGCATCATGGATGTTCTACTGCTGGCAGGGAGGTGACATTTTAGGAGCAATGTGTGCCACAAGCTTGAGTGAAGGTGGAATATTTTTCCACTTGTTTTTATTTATTTTTTCTTGGTTTCTATTTTCT